GGTATAACCCGGTCTAAACCAGGTCTAAATTAGGTCTAAACAAGGTCTAAACCAGGTCTAAATAGGTCTAAACCAGGTCTAAACCAGGTCTAAATCAGGTAAACCAGGTCTCTAAATCAGGTCTAAACCAGGTCTAAATCAGGTCTAAACCAGGTCTAAATTAGGTCTAAACCAGGTCTAAATCAGGTCTAAACCAGGTCTAAATCAGGTCTAAAAGGTAGGTCTAAACCAGGTCTAAATTAGGTCTAAACCAGGTCTAAAAGGTCTAAACCAGGTCTAAAAAGGTCATTAGGTCTAACCAGGTCTAAAGGTCTCAGGTCTAAACCAGGTCTAAACCAGGTCTAAATTAGGTCTAAAACCAGGTCTAAATCAGGTCTAAACCAGGTCTAAATCAGGTCTAAACCAGGTCTAAATCAGGTCTAAACCAGGTCTAAATTAGGTCTAAACCAGGTCTAAATCAGGTCTAAACCAGGTCTAAAAGGTCTAAACAGGTCTAAACCAGGTCTAAATCAGGTCTAAACCAGGTCTAAATTGGGTCTAAACCAGGTCTAAATCAGGTCTAAAACCAGGTCTAAAACAGGTCTAAACCAGGTCTAAATCAGGTCTAAACCAGGTCTAAAACAGGTCTAAACCAGGTCTAAATTAGGTCTAAACCAGGTCTAAATCAGGTCTAAACCAGGTCTAAATTAGGTCTAAACCAGGTCTAAATCAGGTCTAAACCAGGTCTAAATTCAGGTCTAAACCAGGTCTAAATCAGGTCTAAACCAGGTCTAAAGGTCTAAACCAGGTCTAAATCAGGTCTAAACCAGGTCTAAATAGGTCTAAACCAGGTCTAAATCAGGTCTAACCAGGTCTAAATCAGGTCTAAACCAGGTCTAAATCAGGTCTAAACAGGTCTAACCAGGTCTAAACCAAGACTAAAATCACATCTAAATCATATCTTAACTAGATCTAAACCAGGTCTAAACCAGGTCTAAACTAAGTCTAAACCAGATCTAAACCAGGTCTACACCAGATCTAATTTTGTTCTACATTAGGTCTAAACTAGAACTTAACCAGGTCTAAACTAGGACTAAACCAGGTCACGACCAAATAGCAGCGACCGATTAAATAAAAAAAAGCACCCGCCTACCGTCGAGCGAACGAATCCTAATGCTGCGAGGTCAGACGGTTTCCACAAAGTGATGAGCAACAAGTCCGTCACGACACTAGAATATTTACAGTGTGCGTCTTTACTCTAAACCTGCTGTTATTCACTTTGTGTTTGTACATGTTTTGTCTCTTCATCAGCAGCTGCGTCTCTCTCTCCTGGGACGACATAAGGTCCGGTAATTCAGTGTAGTCAGACTGAGACGCATACGAGCCGCACCGGAGCCAGGGCCCTGTAATCCTGGGCACGCACACACTCGGGGGGGATTACGGGGGGGTGCGGGGGGTATTGTTCAGCCGGTGGTCTCCGCTCTGTGATAATGGGGTCTTCACAGCGAGAGACGCGTGTTGCCAGCCTCAAATATCAGCGTTTTTGGAGAATACAACTGGAGTTTAAGCCCGAAGAGTAATCCTGATTTATGCGTAATCGGCGTGAAAAGAACAAGATGGAAAATTCAGCGCGGGGAAAATGAAGAGCTGTTACGGGCTTGTGTGACGGAGAGGAACAGTGGTGAACAAACATACGCGCGGGTGTATAGGATAAACTGGATTTACAAAGAAATAAGAAACCCAAGAATGTGCTTCTACTAAAATGCAGTTTGACAATATGTACTTTTGCTCCGTATACGGACTGAACCAGGACTAAAACAGGACTAAACCAGGACTAAACCAGACTAAACCAGGACTAGAACCAGGAAAACAGGACTAAACCAGTAGGACTGAGGACTAAACCAGGACTAAACCAGGAACTGAATCAGGACTAAACCTAGGACTAACTGAACCAGGACTGAACTGAGGACTTAAACCAGGACTAAACCAGGACTAAACCAGGAAACCAGGACCTAAACAGGACTAAACCAGGACTGAACCAGGACTAAACCAGGAACTAAACCAGGACTGAACCGAGGACTGAACCAGGACTAAACCAGGACTAAACCAGGACTAAACCAGGACTGAACCAGGACTAAAATGAACAGGACCAAACCTAAACCAGGACTAAACCAAACCAGGACTAAACCAGGTCTAAACCAGAACTAAACTAGGACTGAGCTGGGACTAAACCAGGACTAAATCAGGACTGAACCAGGACTAAACCAGGACTAAACCAGGACTAAACCAGGACTAAACCAGGCTAAACCAGGTCTAAACCAGAACTAAACTAGGACTGAACTGGGACTAAACCAGGACTGAACCAGGACTGACCAAACCAGGACTAAACCAGAACTAAACTAGGACTGAACTGGGACTAAACCGGGACTAAACCAGGAATGAACCAAGACTAAACCAGGACTAAACCAGGACTAAACCAGGACTAAACCAGGACTAAACCAGGACTAAACCAGGACTGAACCAAGAAAAAACCAGGACTAAACCAGGACTAAACCAGGACTGAACCAGGACTAAACCAGGCTCTCTGTGTTAAGTCACTCCCCCTTCAGAGCGCAACACAATCTGAGTGCATCCCGCTTATGTATTTATATTTTGCATTGTCGTGTGGGAGCATGGGGGACATAGATTTTCACATAATTTTAATGCTAACTGTAATGAGGGCTAAAATAGGACCCTGGAGAGATCACTAAATTACTCAAACATGCAAGGATGACGCCTAAAACCTCTTCAGAGATGCTTTTGACGAGAGAACAATGTTATAACAAGGTAGAAAGCTCACAAAAATCAAGTCAACATAATACTCTCTCTTTAATAAACAAATGTACATTATATTTACAGGCCTACTGTAGTTAAAACACATCATTCTAGACAAGTTAGTAAAGCCTGTCACATTCTGGAGCGGGGCGAGTGTGGTGAGAAAGTGGGCGACCTACTTTCCCCGCGCTGTCTGCAGATAATAAAGAAAAAAAACGATTGGCTCACATTTGTATGAATGGAAGCTGCAGAGGCCAATTGGATCAGAGACTCTTCTCCTGCATCTGTCTGTGTGACGCTCAAACCACATTAAAGGTCCGATATTACACAAAACTGACTCTTGTGAGCTTTAAGTCGTCTTATAATGTTGTTACAGCCTCAAAAACAGACCTGGAGTTGTGTTTTGTTTCATTCTTTCACCTTCAGTTCAGTAGAGATCGGCGATTCCAGGGTTAAAATCATCTAAATTATTGTAGTGAAGGTGTGTGGAGTTTAAAAACACGGTGAGGCACTTCCCGTATTAAGTTGTAAGAGAATTTAAGTAATTTATCCTCCACGTACGTCTCTCAGTTTAACATTGACTCACAGGAGCTATAGTAACACAAACATCCTCCCTTGTGGCACCATTGGCATACTGTTATTTAAATTGTGGCATATTCTTGTCTAACCTGTGCCTACTGGCCTTCATAGTCTTGCTTTATTTTCGTTGCTTTATAAACAGTGGTGTAGTGTTTTGTTTTTTTTTTAAGTGGAGGTAAGATTGTGATTGAACCAGGAGAACTAAACCAGGTCTAAACCAAGACTAAACCAGAACTGAGCCAGAACTGAACCAGGACTAAACCAGGACTAACCCAGGTCTAAATTAGGACTAAAACAGGACTAATCTTGGACTTGAGAGACAGAGGGAGAACCCGGATCCACAGAGCAGGGTGTCCGCAAAGTGCGATCGGGCGACGGCTGTGTTTAGCTCCGTGGGGCGCGAAGCTCTGTGCCGGTCCTGGTTCAGTTCTGGTTTAGCCCTGGTTTAGTCCTGGTTTAGACCTGGTTTAGTCCTGGTTCAGTCCTGATTTAGTCCTGGTTTAGTCCTAGTTTAGTTCTCCTGGCTCATTCACGAATCCCTACTACACCACTGTTTATAAAGCAAGTGAGGTGATACTATAAAGACAGTAGGCACCAGTTAGACTTGCTTTAGTCCTGGTTCCTGGTTCAGTCCTGGTTTAGTCCTGGTTCAGTCCTGGTCCCTCATGTGGCAGGTCACTATAGGACAGTCCTGCAGATATGAGCCTATGCAGTTTGTTTTAACCATTGCCAGTAGCTATATATAGCAATATTAGTTTTATAAAAAAAAAAAATAAATAAATAATATATATATATATATATATATATATATATATATATATATATATATATATATATATATATATATATATATATATCACGTCAGGAGAAGTGGGTGAACGGCATAACCCCGCGCACCACGCCCACTACACCCCTGTTTATAAACCTCCTCCTGTGGAAGCAAAGTTAAGGGGCTTGAACACTAAAAGATCGTACTACTTTCACCTCTGAAATCATACTACGTTGACTTGATGGTAAACAAACCTCTCCTTCTAAAGGCATCCAGTTGCTCTCCAGCCTTTTAATTCAATCCTTTCTTGGAGAAGCTGAAAACTTCTACAACATTCGTGACATCACAAAGTGGCAAAAAAGTGACATCCCTCAGCCTAAATACACAGAGTTTATGTATTAAACATGTGTGAATCAAACTGGGGCGTGTCTATGTTCCCTCATTTCTAAGGTTTTTGTTTATTTTCTTTCCAAAAATAGTCCCTATGTTCCCACACGTCTTTTATCATCATTTTGCATCAGATTTTATCCCCATTTCTCGCAGTGTGGTCATCAAATACACTCAACCTATTATTCTCCTGCAGCAGTTGACTACAGATGTAATGTAGAGGTCATGGTGCAAAGGATCCTAGGTTGAAAAGACTCTAAATCATCCCTTTAAATGTGGTATAAAAATAAAAATTACTTGACTTAGAGTTTAATTTTGATAAAATCTTATAAATAAAGAAACATAGGGCTGATCCCAATGAAACAAAACACTACTCAAAGTCTGTTTTTAATGAAGAAGCATCATTATAACACAGAGAAACATCAGAAAATAGCGTAACATGAGCCCTTTAAACAATAATAATGATACTTACATCTCCGCTGTAGCTGTATTTCCCTCGTATTATGGCGCGGTAGAGTCCGGTTCGACTCTCGTCTTCAAACGGCATGGACCCGCTCAGAACGATGAACGCTATGACGCCCATCGCCCACAGATCCACCGCGCTGCAATGGGGTTTCCTTTGCACGACTTCAGGAGCCTTGTACTCGGGCGTTCCACACGTACTCCGCCAAGACCAGGAAGTACCCACGCTGGAACTGTCGCTGCTACCTAAATGCTCGCTGGTTTTGTCGCTAAACGAAGCCAAGCCGAAGTCCGTTACGAGCAATCTGGAGTTCGATCCTGGATGGTAGTACAGCAAGTTCTCTGGTTTCAGATCTCGATGCGTTATGCCGATACTGTGGAGGTAGCTAACAGCGGCGAGCACCATTTTGATCGCTCTGGTGGCGTCGCGTTCCGTAAAATGGCCCCTGCTCACGACTCGGTCCAGGAGTTCGCCGCCGGTCGCGAGCTCCAGCACCGTGTAAACTCTGTGGGGGAATTGGAAAACCTCCACCATACGGACGATGTTTGGATGGCTGACCCGCTTTAGCACGGTCAGCTCGGTCACGCACACTTCGCGGCCCTCGGGAAATTCCACCTCCATCATTTTTATGGCGAAGGGCCGGCGGGTCGCTCTGTGCTCCACGCGCACCACACGACTGAAGCGGCCGCGGCCAATCAGAGCCTTGATATCGTACCTGACGGAGAGATCAAAGGTTAGAAAATGCCTTATTAAAGGTTGTATGGAGGATTTTTTTTTTATTTCAAATTGTCAATGAAAGTTTAAAATACCAGTACAGAGACGCAGCAGCCTCGTAATTATGATGACCAAAAAAAAAAAAAGAATGAAAATCTATCAACTGTGGACGTAGTGAGGCCAGATAAACATCAGCCAATAGAAAACAAGGCTACCTCATTTCCTATTGGCTGTTAGGTTGTCAATCAAACTCCCTACGTTTCTAGTGTAACTGACTCGTCGGTGCGCGGGGATTATGTAGTTTATGCAGCAGTTTTTAGAGAATTTTTCAAACTGTAGCTTCCTCGCAATTCGCACAAAGTTTGTTGCGATGGCGGACGAGAATCAACGACCGGTTCGCCGTAAAAGAAAGTCAATTTTTGAGGTCGCTGAAAGAAGAGAAGGGGAAAAGGAGCCAAGACAAACTGAGGTGATTCTTGGAGATTTCTTCCAGCGATTGGACGAATGAAGCAGATGAACGGTCTAAAAACTGATGCGCTGGTCGATAAATTATTTCTGAACAGGTCACTTCAACAGTAATTCTGAACATGCACTGGATGTAAACAAGCGTGATTTCTAGAGTAAAGAGGCGGGAGGAGTTCTACTGAAGGTGGTGTCACTCATGCACAACATTTGAAAAAGGACCGTCACTGCATGTCACTTCCCTTAAAAAAATCCTCTATACAACCTTTAAAATTTATATTGACAACAAATTCCTTTTACAGTGTTTTTTTTTGACTTATATTTGACACTGATAACATAAAAAAATCATTAAAAACACTGGGTCTGTTGATTGAGATTTTGTCATTTCCAATGGTCAAAGATGCTTGTTTTTTTTTTATCTGTCAATGAAAACATGTGGTTTGGAGTAAAGTTTTTTCGTGTGTGTGTGTTAAAGGAGCACTATGCACCCTATTTTTCAGACTATAAGGCGCACTTAAAATCCTTTAATTTTCTGGTGGTGCTTACTGACATTGAACTGATTTTATGTGGTACACGGAGCTCAAAAATCTGTCAGAATGTTTTAGTACGACTTTGGTAAACTATGAAGCCGCAACACTTGATGGAAAGTTCTTTGTTGACTCAACTCACACTGCCGCCGGCGCCTTATAGCAGAAAGGGCATACGTTTTCCACCTAGTTGTGTCCTTTAGTCCGACAGAAGCTGACCGCATCAGCACACAAAGAGTGAGCTGTTTTTTCAGCGCTTATAGTTTATGCAAATGAGCCATGTAGTTTTAAGCTTCGTTTCTGTAAAACGTAAACAAATGCTGAATTAAACACATTATTACACAATGTATATTTGAGTCATCCTCGTAGAAAATAAGAAAAACTAACTTAAATGATCCACCCACATTCACATTCATAACACACATTCACCAAGACAGGGAGGCAACGCTGGGCGAATTACGCCACGATCTGCCAATGGATCGTGGACGCCTGGGCTAAGGATCAGTCTCAAGTGTCGTCCGTTTGACTCGCTTAATGCACCTTATAATCCAGTGCTCCTTATAGTCTGAAAAATACAGTCATTTTTTGCTTGTGGGTCCATCACCTGCTTATTTCTATGGATATATCATTGCTCTGCCTGGAATGTTCCACAGTATGACATTAAACAGCTCTAAATTACATCCAGTTACAGCTCAGAAATACCTAAAAAAAAAAAAAAAAAAAAAAGGCATTCTGACTTTGATCACCTCTCCACAGATCTGACCTATAACTTGGTTCTGGTTTGGTCCTCCATGATTATAGGAAGATTTAATGCCGCACTGTGAAATATTCCAGACAAAGCAATAACATCTACATTAAGAAAAAAAAAAAAACGTCACGGACCATCCGCCAGAAAAGTTACACAACGCACCTTTAACAGTAGCGCTGTAGCCTTATATTAAACTCAAATCCTGATAAAACATTTTTAATTCAAATCATCTTAGCTTAGATTTTGTTTCTTTGCAGTGTCTGTCAATACAAAATTTAAGAAAGTAGTAAAATTACAGGATCTTTGAAGCACTGTCATTTTGTAAACAAATAAAAAGCACAAACCTGGCAGTGACTCTTGGATCAAACTTGTCTTTATACGTTTTAGTCTTGACCCTGTGTCCTGTGTCTCTCGTGTTTTTTGAAGGCCGACGCTCCTTTTCCTGGCGATTCTTGGCGTTACCTCCAAACCAAAATCTTTTCTGCTTTTCCAATTTCTTCCCCGTTTCATCTTTATCTTCACGCGCTCGAGAAAAAGCCACCAAAGACTGCACCACGCTCACGTAGCCCACCGCAGACCCCTCTGGCACAACTTTACCGTATCCACAACCCATTAGTCCCATCGAAACTGTCTTTCTCCATCTACGAGCGTTCTGGAGTGAAATGAAGAAGAGGAAGTGCGTATTTGGTGTTAAGAGCCGCTAAGCCCCGCCCCCTCACAGGTAACAGTGGAGGCGTGATCTTACCTTGTACGCAGGTGGTAAAAGTGTCACGTAAACCTCGTTTTATTTGAAGTCTTTGTCAACACAGAAGAGCGAGAGAGTGAAGGGGAAATGGAAGCACCTGCCGAAGCCCGGAGTCAACAGAGCCTGAAGAATAAAGAGAGAAACGAGGAGATTTACAGCGATAGTTTTAAAAAGAAGAAAAAAAAAAAAAATGTTACTGGAGGTTTTCAGATTCTCACGTCACACTGGGGGTTGTCTACATGTATTTCTGTAAATGAATCTTCTGCAGTTACCATGGTGACTTAGATTTAGACAAACTTTATTGATCCGCAAGAGAAATTATTTGGATGCATTTGCTCACACGTCACAAAATATTATAATAACAAAGAAAAAAACCTATAAATGACACAATGCACATGCTAAAAAACACTTTCCACGTTTACATGAGAGCTTTAATTCCAATTAAAAATGAATTCCAGGCCATATAAACACTTAATTCTTAATGATTATTTGGAATTAAATTTAATTCTGAAGTAAGTGGGTGGTTTAATCTGATTTTAAAGCCAAATTCATTTATCCCTCGATCATGTAAACGTTTATTCTTCTTAGAGATAATTCCGTGCTTGCTCGTTGGGTCGCCCTTCTGCAGTGTTTGGAGTAACGCGTTATAAAAGTACTGAATTACTGTAATGCGTTGCTTTTTGCTGTAACGCAGTAATGTGGCATAACAGGGGAAAAAGTGGTAATATTTTACTCGGTACAAATGTCAGTATCGCTCGTTACAATGCTTTTTTTAAACCTGGATTGAAGTGGTGGGTTTTTTGTTTTTCTTCATACAAATTTGCTAAAATCACCGGGATATCAGCAGCGGTGAAACGCCGGAGGTGCGCCCGCGTAGACCGTGATCGCGAGCAAAAGGACTGATGTAGAATTCCACGCTCCACGGAGCTAAACGCAGCTGACGCCAGATCTCACTCGGGGGTCCTCTCAGGGGCGGTCTAGATTCCAAGTTCTAGTTTGGTCCTGGTTTAGTCTTGGTTTTTGACATGGTTTAGTCTTGGTTTAGGCTCTGGTTCAGTCCCGGTTCAGCTTTGGTTTAGTTCTGGTTTAGACCTCGTTCAGTTCTGGTTTAGTCCTGGTTTAGACCTGGTTTAGTCCTGGTTTAGACCTAGTTCAGTTCTGGTTTAGTCCTGGTTTAGACCTGGTTAGTCCTGGTTTAGACTAGTTCCTGGTTTAGAGTTCTGGTTTAGACCTGTTCTGGTTTAGTCCTGGTTTAGACCTTAAGTTCCTGTTTAGTCCTGGTTTACCTGGTTTAGACCTGGTTTGGTTTAGTCCTGGTTTAGAGTTTAGTCCTAGTTTAGTAGTTAGCTGGTTTAGTCCTGGTTTAGACCTAGTTCTGGTTTAGTCCTGGTTTAGACCTGGTTTTCTAGTTTAGACCTTTCAGTTCTGGTTTAGTCTGGTTAGACCTGGTTTAGTTTAGACCTGGTTTAGACAGTTCTGGTTTAGTTTAGACCTGGTTTAGTAGTCCTGGTTTAGGTTTTAGTTTAGACCTTCTGTTTAGTTTAGACCTGGTTTGTCTAGTTTAGTTTAGTTCTGGTTTAGTCCTGGTTTGGTTTAGTCCTGGTTTAGTTTAGTCCTGGTTAGACCTGGTTTAGTCCTGGTTTAGACCTGGTTTAGTCCTGGTTTAGTCCTGGTTTAGACCTGTTTAGTTCTGTTTAGTCTGGTTTAGTCCTGGTTTAGACCTGGTTTAGTCCTGGTTTAGTCCTGGTTTAGACCTGGTTTAGTCCTGGTTTAGACCTCGTTCAGTTCTGGTTTAGTCCTGGTTTAGACCTGGTTTAGTCCTAGTTTAGACCTAGTTCAGTTCTGGTTTAGTCCTGGTTTAGACCTGGTTTAGTCCTGGTTTAGACCTAGTTCAGTTCTGGTTTAGTCCTGGTTTAGACCTCATTCAGTTCTGGTTTAGTCCTGGTTTAGACCTGGTTTAGACCTGGTTTAGTCCTGGTTTAGACCTAGTTCAGTTCTGGTTTAGTCCTGGTTTAGACCTGGTTTAGTCCTGGTTTAGACCTAGTTCAGTTCTGGTTTAGTCCTGGTTTAGACCTGGTTTAGTCCTGGTTTAGACCTGGTTTAGTCCTGGTTTAGACCTAGTTCAGTTCTGGTTTAGTCCTGGTTTAGACCTGGTTTAGACCTGGTTTAGTCCTGGTTTAGACCTAGTTACCTGGTTTAGACCTGGTTTAGACCTGGTTTTGACCTGGTTTAGTCCTGGTTTAGACCTCGTTCAGTTCTGGTTCAGTCCTGGTTTAGTCCATATACGGCGCAAAAGTTCAGCATCTTCGCAGTTATTTTGGTGAGAGTCATTTAAAGGTAATGAAATAGTCATGCCTTTAAAATGCCTTACTGCAGTAATATTGTAATGTAACAAATTACTCTGAAATGACAATAACAAGTCATAAATAACACATTACAGTTTTAAAGTAACTTGCCCAACAGTGCCCCTCTGACGAGATCTGTGCAAAAAGTTTGGATCATGTTTGGCTGCGTTTATATGACGACAGCCTGAACAGAAGATTTCACTTTTTATTCCGTGTTTAGACAAGCGTTTTCTGGAGCAAATCTGTGTGCACACGGTGATGCAAAAGTGTGTAGAATTTGATTTGTGTTGATGTATGTGATGTAAACTCGTACGCGACGTGAGCAGATCTGACCAGAGTTTTGTGTCTTGGGCAGTGTAGACAGAAACACTACAGCGACGTGTATTCAGCTTTTCCACTCTGGAGGGTGATTTCAGATTTTTGCGTTTTTAAGCCCCAAAACACCGTCACCGTCTAAACAAAAGGCACTTCAGATAAAATATTTTGTCGTTTTTACCCGAAAGCGTTCTCATGTAAACAGGCTCTTTGTAATGACAATCTGAGATGACAAAAAAGCTGACTCTACTTTTTTTTTTTTATATCAAATAAATGAAACTAACTAAGTAACTTTTACTCAAATTACATTTAAATGAAGTTTTACTTTTACTCAAGTAGATTTTTTGATGGTTTCTTTTACTTGAGTAGGAATTAAGCAAAGTAAAGACACTAACTTAATTTTTCAGTACTTTTTCCACCTTTACTTGCATATTAAAGGTTGTATGGAGGATTTTTTTTTAGTTTCAAACTGTCAGTGAAAGATTAAAATACCATTACAGAGACGCAGCAGCTTTGTAATTATGATGACCAAAAAAAAAAAGAATGAAAATCTATCAACTGTGGACGTAGTGAGGCCAGATAAACATCAGCCAATAGAAAACGAGGCTCCCTCATTTTCTATTGGCTGTTAGGTTGTCAATCAAACTCCCTAGTATAACTGACTCGTCGGAGCGCGGGGATTACGTGGTTTACGCAGCGGTTCTTAGAGGCTTTTTCGAACTGTCGCTTCCTCGCATTTTGCACAAAGTTTGTCGCGACGGCGGACGAGAATCCACGACCGGTTCGCCGCAAAGAAAGTCCGTTTTTGAGGTCGCTGAAAGAAGAAAAGTGGAAAAGGAGCAAAGCCAAACTGAGGTGATTCTTGGAGATCTCGTCCAGCGATGGCGCGACCGAAGCAGACGAAGGGTCTAAAAACTGACGCGTCGGTCGCTGAATTACTTCTAGACAGGAAACTTCAACAGTAATTCTGAATGTGCACAAGGACTGTCGCTGTATTTCTCTTCCCTTAAAAAAATCCTCTATACAACCTTTAAGTCAATATTTGGTGGTTTTATTGGTCAAAATGAGCATGCTAACAGCGCAGCTCCTGATAATTGTATTTGGACCTCAAGAGCTGCTTAAAATATATCTGTACTGGGAAGTTTTGCTGGAAAACATGGGAAAAAACAAACAAATCGGAAGCTTTTTAATGAGATCAGGGAGGACAACTCCACAAAGAGAAGTTATTTCTTTATAATTTAATTTTACTTTTGATTGAAAAACTATAACTACATATTTTTTTAAACTTTGAAGTACCATGTCTATTCGTGTTTGTTTTGATTTAATTGTATTTTAGCAAACATATGCATATTTTCCGTTTTCATATTTCTCCCTAAAAATCCTGCTTTGTCATTCTTCTTTTGATCAAGGCCGGCATTTGGAAAATCCGCCCCAAATTTAGACCCTTGAAGCACCCTCGGAATGTCTATTGTTATCTGGTATTTCGGCGGAGATAAACATTCCCACCCTGAACTGCCAGTGAACGCAGCACAAAGCGATTAAAGCCTGACGCGTTCGCCGGAATATTTTTCTATTTACTGTCTGCGCTCCTTTGAGACTCTAATCCCCTCTGCCACATCTGAACGCCGCTTATTCCTGACAACACGCACTTTTAATAACTCGGAAAACATGAAAAGAAGCAATATAAGACTCCACTTAAATATGACCCCACTGTGAAACTCAAACCTAAAAGAGAAATATAGAAGCGGTAGGACAATGGTGTTTGAAAAGGCACCAGGGACTCCACACACACTGCTCCATATATTGAGAATATGAAAACAAATACAATACTGGAGAAAGAAATGTAAGTTTTTAAAGGTGCGCTGGTGTTTGGGGGTCCGTCACCTGCTTGTTTCTACTGAGGATTTGCGCAGTCATGTGATTTAATGTTTTGGCGGCCATACTGGAGGTCCAGTGTTGGGAAGGTGACTTTTAAAATGTATTTCCCTACAGATTACAGATTACAAACCCCAAAATGTAGTTTGTAACGTAATCCATTACATTACTTAAAGTGAGTAATGTAATCTGAATACTTTGGATTACTTGATTTGTTGTAGAGAAGCAAAGATGAGGAAATCGTAATATAAAATGTTTTGTCTGATAAAAGAAAATGAAAAGCCCAGATTTTACTGAACCGTATTAAAAATATTATTGATAGAAGACGAGGAG